GGTGGGAGGGAACGAGTGAGGCAGGCCAGGGGAACTCAAGGCTGAGGCTATGCAGGGGGTGGCCACCCACCACTTTTCCCTTCATGCTGTCCACGCTGAGCAGCGTGCCAGCTGGCCTTCCCTTTGGCGATGCAACCAGTCCTTTCCCACCACAAGGGGGGTGGGCAGAGCCCATGGAAGCCCAGTTCTGACCCTGCTCTGGTGACTGTCACCTTCTGCTACCACCTCCCAGGCTGGAGCAGCCTAGTGCACGTGTCACAGAAGACAGGAGAAGAACCAAGCAATGCTTAGAGAGATGGAGTTACATTTATTATTACACACTGGCCCAGAGAAAAATGTCTCTAGAATTCTGGGCAAAGTCACTCAGAAAGTTTCTTGTATTGCTACCTTTTGAGCCTCTTTGTCTCCCAAATATAAGGTTTTCTGCCCCGCTTTGCAAGTTCTTAAAGAGCCCCTATGTGCTGGGTCTTTGAGATCTCAACCAAAGACTTGGCCTGGTGCCAGCACTGATATCTTTGTCTGGGGAAGATGGATTCTTCATTCCCCACTGGTTTTATGTCCATAAGTCAAATCATTGACTCTTTTGGGTCATTGTTGGGGAGGGAGTTATATTGAGCCCTGAGGACTATAAGCTTAATGGAATTAATTCTCTGCCAAATAAAGTCAGTGGGCTTGCTTATAAAATAAGGGCCAGGAATGAGGGCCAGGAATAATCTCTAGAGGGTCCAAAGAGTCCTGTACTCTCTATTTTCCCTGGCTGTAGTAAGTCGGGTGTGATGAAGACACTTCAGGATCCCATTGACCTTGATTGCCATGGGGGTGGTCCTTTTCAGGTAGGAGTCAGTCCTTGGGTGGCAAATTTATCTAAACAGAGTCACCAGGTTGGAAGGGATGGACCAGATCAGAAGTTGATACAGGCAGAGCATCTTGGACGTGCTTCTGGACTGCTTTCTGGGGGGACTGTAAAGCCTGTAAGAAGTCGAGTAATTGGTTATGGATTTCAGCTTTTTTAGATTGGGCAGGTCAGGGTCTGAAAAAATCACTAGAATCTGTAGAGGCCCCACTGGTTTTAGGGCAGCCTCCCAGGCCACTTTGTCTGTGGCCCGGTTCCCTCTTGCTTCTGTGGAGTCCCCTTACCTTGTAAATAGCATTATGTACATGAGCCGTTGCAAATGTGTACCTGCTATCAGTATAAATTGTTACTGATTTTTCTTTTGCCCACAGGAGAGCCTGAATCTGGGTGACTCGAGTGGTTGACACCCAGCACTCCAGTGTGTTCTGGGGTAAAGCCTCGACTGCATGTGAAGCATTATTTCCTACCCTATGGTTAACTTATTTGCTTTTTTGATAAGCATAGCTGTGGCTGCTACTGCCCGGAGGCAAGTAGGTCACCCAAATGTAAAGGGGTCAAGTCTTTTGGACAAATAGGCTACTGGTCTTTTCTAGGGGCTGAGACTTTGTGTGAGTACCTCTTTGGCTATGCCCCTTGTCTTACATACCTAGAGGTGGAAATACTTATTATATCTGGTAGTTCTAGTTGGCCTATTGTCCTTGCTCTCTCATGTCTGTCTAACTTCCCA